ACGCCAAAGAAATCGAAGATTTCGGCGGGCGCCCGACGCGCGGTATGGAGCACGGCGCGCTGCCCGGCATGCCTGCAGCATCCAAACGAGACGCACGGCGTCGCTCAGCCGTGTCCACGCGGCTTCGCTCCTGTCCTAACCGGCGCCATCTGGGCGGCTGCTGTGGAGCTGCCGCCGGCGGTGCGGCAACTGGCCGACAGATACAACGCTCAGGGCACCCGCCGGCGATTCACTGGAAAGGAACGAAGGCGCCGCTGTCGGCGATTCACCGCCGTTCGTTCCCGTCTCTCAAGCTGGCTACACTGTACATGGACGAGGGAGTTGTCGAATTTTCTGTGGTACGGGTCTCTGTGTGTTAGCAGACCGCCCTGGCGGACTCGTTTACACTTCCAAGCTCAAGCCAGGCGCCGCAGGCCATAAAGAGGAGCGCAGATTAAAATGGCGCCGCAGGCTCCCCGGGCCGTCCGCGCACAGACCACAGGAAAAAACAAAAATCTATAAAACATCTATCAACTCCACTAGGGGGTGGGTGGGCTCCGATCTCCCCATCTCCAATACTCTCTAATCCACAGCGTCGTCATATTAGGCCGGGGATCCAGTCAGATCTCCGATCTCCATCTTCAATCTCCAATCTCCCAACGTCGTCATCTTAGGCCGGATTCAGTCAGATCTCCGATCTCCATCTCCAATCTCCAATCTCCAATCTCGATTCGGGGGCCCGGGGGAGGAGGGGGGCTCAAACCTTCAAGGAGATGCAATTTGGATTCATTCACACTGACTGACCATCTCTCGTCTCCGATCTCCAATCTTCTACTTGGCCACTGTCGCCGCCGGCAGCAATCTACGACCTCCATTTTCAATCTTCGATCTCACATCTGGGGCGGTCCGGATGGCTGGGCGCTAGGATCTACAATCTGCATTCTCCATCTCCTACGGCTATCTCCCACATTTTGGCCCGTGTTGCTGCTCAGCGATCTGCAATCCACAATCTCAATCTCTTCGTTCTTTAGTCTTGAATGGGGAACCGGAGAGGAGGGATCTACTGGCGAGACTTGGGCGTGTCCGTGTGAGAGATCCACTAGGATCTCCAGTCTTAAACTTAATCTACACTGTCTCTCCAACCCCCGATCGACTGTCTGTTCTTGCGCAGAGATTTCCGCCATAAAACTTAAAAGCCGTATTCCAATTCCATTGCTCCCGACGCCCTCTCTTTTACATACATACATACATACATACATACATACATACATACATACATACTCGTGTCCAATATTCCTCCGCCTCCGCCCCTCGGGCCCTCTCTTCTCGCTTTTGCCTTTCGAGCCTGTGTGCGCGGCCCACCACACGAGCAGGCTCCCACAGATCGACAGACGACAACCCACGACCATGCCCACGACCCACAGTTATTATGCGCCCCAACTCCCATGCCATGCCCACGGCCCGTGCCGCCCCTAGAGCCGTACAGCGGTCTATGTGCCACACCACCCGCACGACCACGCCACGGACGAGTAGTTCGAGCCTGATGAGGAGAACTATTGCTCCTCCCGGCTAGCCGTCCACCCGACGGCACAGTCCCAGCCATCCACATAATGTGGGCATGCGCACAGGCCACGCCAAGGCGGCAGTAGGTACAGAGGAGATGGCGATGCCAGTACACGAGCGCGGCTCACACCTGCCAGGTTGTTGACCGCTAGGTTGGTGAGCGCTTTTGCGGGACGTGGTTTTTGAGGAAGGACTGGACGCGCCGCAGCAGCCTCGGCTGTGGCGTGGGCTGAACGGTGGGCGGCTCGGGGCGGAGTGGTCCCGCCCCGGCGAGGTCCGCATACTGCACCACAAAGGCAAGCAGCAGGAGCAGCAGCCCGACGACCACCACTCGAGAGCCCTTGGGCCCGACCGGCGCTGGCGCCGCCGCCTCCGCCGCCGCCGACGGCTTGGGCTCGATGTCGGCTGCCGTCGCGCGCGCGCGCCTGCCTGGCGAGTCGCGCAGACGCGACGACGGGGGCGCGGCCGCTGCGAGCGCCGCGGTGACGTCCTTTGAGGGCGAGTCCGACCCCAGCCGCCGTTTGGCGGGCGAAGCCTTGGCGCGAGTCGGGGAGGCGCGCGGAGGCTTTCGCGGCGACGGCGACGGCCTGCGCCGCGTGGGAGATCGCGTCGGCCGCTGCGGGGAGGAGGCGACCATCAAGGAGGTCGTTCAAGTCGTCGTCGGGTAGCTTTTGCCAACAATATAAATTCAGGAGCTCGCAGAAAATAAAAGAATTCCTACCTATTCGCTGCTTTTGCTACTAACACGCAAGTCCTGCTGGGCGCGGTGGACATGACTGCGGCCGCCCCAGAGGCCCTCTCCCGCGGCTACTCGCTCGGCGCCGCGGGCGGCGCCGGCGCGTGCGCGCCGCTGTCGGGCTGCGCGGCGGCCACGTGCGTCGCGGCGTCGCAGCCGCTCTCGTACTGGAGCGGGCCGCTCAACCTGTCGGCCGCCCGGCGCGGCCAGCTCTTTGCGGGCAGGCGTGGCGGCCGCAGGATGCGCGGCGGCCGCCGGCTCGAAGCGGACGGCGACGCGACGGTCGGGCGGCAGCTGGCGGCGCCGGGCAAATGCGCGCGCGGGAGCCCCGACTGGAAGCCGGTCGGCTTTGTGCATGTCAACAAGGCGGGCGGCACGGCGATGATTGCCATCCTCGGCAAGCACAGCCGGCCGCAGATGCTGCAGTTCACGTCGCCGCAGGCGCTGGCGAAGCTGCGCTCGATCCGGTCGCGCTTCTTCCACGCCTCTGCCGCGCTCCAGCAGTGGGCCGTCGGCGAGGCGGCCTGGCGCGACGCGTACCGCTTTGCGCTCGTTCGCAACCCGTGGGCGAGGCAGGTGTCGATGTTCCACTTCCTGCTCGAGACGGCGTCGTGCGCGAAGCCGTGCGGGCAGCGCGCGGCGCACTGCGACAAGCGGCTCCTGCCGCAGGCGGGCCCCTGGCTCGCGAGCGTCGACCTCGCCACGCCGCGCTTCCGCGCGTGGATCCGCGACATGGCTGCCGCCTTCCCACCCGGCCACCCGCAGCAGCACCTCTTCGGCGCGCGCTTCCACGGGAACGAGCGCGACGCGTGGTACAACGCGTCCCAGATCTCGTGGATGGTCGACGGCCGCGGCGCCGTCCTCGTCGACGACATCTTCAAGCTCGAGGAGCTGCAGCAGCACTGGCCGACGCTGCAGCGGCGCGTCTGCTCGCTGCGCGGCGTGCCGTATGCCGACGGCGGGCTGAGGAAGAACCCGTCGACGCACGCGCACTACTCGCGCTACTACGACGACCAGACGCGCCGGATCGTCGCGCAGTACATGCAGGCCGACATCGACCGCTTTGGGTACACCTTTGAGCAGCAGCAGGGCGGCGGCTGAGGCGCGGAGAGGGCGGGGGCAGGGAGCGTGTTTCCAGGCGATTCTTCCGCGCCCGGGCTTATGTGGTTGTTCGTGGACCCGCTATCGTCGAATTCCAATTCGTGAGAGAGACGAGTCTCGCTACTGCTCCGCGAGACGGGGGGTTGCGGGGGGGAGGAGCGCACTGAACAAGACTCAAGTGCTGTGTCGGATGTGATAAAGCTGCTCCCATCTTTTGGGTAATCACAGCCGCCGCCCCCGCCGCCGCCCCCGCCGCCGCGCCGCCGAGTGTGCGAGACCGTGGAGTCCGAGAGCGGAGTCGTCCGGAGAGGGCCGGGAAAAGTGCGCGGGCGAAGCGAAGGCACACACCGGCAGTTTGCGCGCCGCGCAGCTGTGGGCCTGTGGCTGCTGGGCGGAGCTGCCCCCGAGCTCGCAGCTGACACAATACTCAAAAGAGACAACACGTAAAAAAACGTGTACTTCCGCACACGTTCTCACCGCGGCTTTGATTCGTGAGTCATGAACGACGCGCTGCCCGCCGGACACCGTGCGCCGTCGAGTACAAAACATGGAAGACCCAGGAGAAGCGCGGGCTCTTACCCTCATCCTCAGCTCTCCTTTGGCTTGCTCGGGGCGCACTGCTCGATCTGCCGGTCGATTTGCCGGGTAAAGTTTTGCAATCGGTGGTTGTACCAGGACGCGCCGTTCCACGCGGCGAACAAGCCGGTGCACAGGACGACCGCAAAGTGGATCTCCGGAGTGCCATACGCGTACAGGGGGTACGTCGTGCAAAGGATGGCGGCGTTCAGCGCCACCGAGATCACCTCGTACTTCAGGAAGCGGAGCGTCTCAGACCCGCCCTCGCCGATGCGGCCAAGAACGGCGGTGAAGATGTTGCGGCCGCCGCGCGAGCTCATGTTGTAGTGATAGGTCGTGTTCCAATGCCTGCTGCGGAGCGCATCGCCAAAGGCTAGCATGAAGGCGGCATGGAGCATAGCCCACACCGCGAGGAAGGCGAGGGGCAGCTGGATATACTCAGAGAGCAGAACCTGGTCAATGGGGAAGAGGTCGTTCTCCGTGTGCCACCGGAGGCAGTGGGCGGCGATGTGCGGCGAGAGGTGAATGATGAGCGACATCATGTGGTCCACGCTGTGCGGGACGAGCGCATTTCCAAGAAGCACCACCGAACCGCCTGAAGGCAGGGCTTACATACTGTAAAGGGTGGGGAGCGACACAGTCGGTGCCGTGCTGAGAAAACGACACCGAGCGGGCCGGCGCCGAAGGCGAAGAGGGTGCGCAGCGCAGTTGCGCGTGTCTCGCGGTCAAACTTTTCAGGGTAGACGCCGAGGGAAATCAGATAGATCGTCATGGAGAAGTTGGCCGCCCAACAAAACTCCACAAAGTAAGCCAGGCCAGCGAGGGATGGTTGAGACCAACGCCAGGCGTGAATGGGCGTGAGGATGCAGAACTGAAGGCAGTGCCAAAGATAATAGTGCTGTGGCCAGCGTCCGGCGATGTAGATGCTGCCGAAGGCCTTTGCCTGCCCCAGAAAAAACTTGCCCCGGTTAAAGCCGAGGACTGGCGATGCGCCAAATCTGTGTTGCTCCAATTGGACGACGGCAAGGGCAGTGCGCAGGCCATCCTCGTAAGTCAAGCACGCCTGGGATTTAGCCGCGATTCGCGAGCTCCGACGTTTGGGCGTGCCCGGGCCGAGAAAATGCCACGAGGAGGGAGGCATGCTTGACGGACTCCGCGACATCGGAGCGCGCGTGCCAAAGCGCACGTGCCGACGGCAACCCCTCCGCCCGGGTTTGATGACCGCAAGCTTGGAATTGTTTTTTGAGCTTAGCCTTCGATGTTATGAAAACAAACGCAAGGCGGACATGGCATATCGCTCTCGGGCTCACAGACATCCCTCACACCCGCCGCCCCCGTGCGCGCCCCACCCCGGCCGGGAGAAAGGGGAGTGATTGTTTTTTTGGATTTTCGCAGCTCTCCCGGGGCACTGACCTTCTCTGCGAACACCTCCCTGACACCTCCCAAAGCGGGCGTGTTTGAAGCCACCTTCCGGTGCTCGCTGTTGCCAGCCGATCAGACCTCGTTTGCCTGCTGGAATAGGTTCGCCAGCACCGCCAGCGCGGCATCGTCCCAAGGCGCCCCCCGCGACGGAGTCGCCGGCCGGGCTGAGGCAGGCCGCCGCCTCGGCTTCGGCGGCGTTTCGTACCCTGCTATCGGCACGCTTCGCTGCGCAGGTGGCCGCCATGCCGGCGATTGGTTTCGGGCCGACTGAGGCCTTTTGAAGACCTTCTTGGGTGTCGCCAGCCTGGCAGTGCTGCGCTCGAGGTCCCACTCTCCAAGGCGAAGCGGTTTCTTCCCATCCGTGTCCGGTGGGCGTGGCGGCGGCTCCGGGGACCGCGTGCGCGCCTCATTCTTCCGCTTGGCCCAGTTCTTGGCATCGCGCTCGAGCGCCTGAAACCTCGCCTCCCGTTCCTTCTCGGTGACCTTGCTGCCCCGGCTGGAGAGGGCTCGCATCGCCGCCCGCTCTTTGCTGACCTGCTCCTGCTGCCACCGCTCAAAATTCTCCTTTTTAGAGCGCTCCAGCGAGAGCCGCAGCCGCTTCTGCGCCTCGGCGCGGTCCGCCTTGCTGAGCTTGGACGGCGGTCGCGCCGTCGCCGCGCGCCGCCTGCGCTCCGCTGCCGCCGCCGCCGCCTTGCTTGCCTCCTCCCCGAGCGCCGTCCGCAGCTCCGCGTGATGCGATCGAAGCAGGTCGCGGCAGCGCCCGGCGACGGCGAGCGTGAGCTTCAGCAAGCTGGCGATCGATGCGTTTGGATACCTGAGGAAGAGGAGGCGATGGAGAGGCTACTACTTTGCGTAACGACAGCCACCAAATTGCCAGCCCGCACTTGATCCGATCGGCGGCCGTCTCGCTGTGCATCGCCTCGATGCGCGCAACGTAGGAGTCGCGCTCACGCGAGAGCTCATCCCACTCGCGGCGCATCCGATTGATCTCGATCGCAGTCTCGTCGAGGGCTGGCGCGCTCGCCGTGCTCGTCATGCCTGCCGTCGTTTCCTCTTCCAACCGCCCGGCCCGACTTTTCGACGGCCGCCGAGTTTGATCGAGGCTCTTTTTCGGAAACCGTTTCGCAACATGCACATGCACATGTGCATGCACATGCACATGTACATGTACATGTGCATGCATGTATGTATGTAGGAAGGTCAAGAACAGCCAGGCTCGGACTGGACACCAACGCGGTATGGGTGGACGCTGGACAGATGATGACGGCACGCACGAGCGCGACACACAGACACAAACAGGCTCACAAGACACACAGCCAGCGGGCTGCCACACACCCTGAGTAGGCGTACACATAACTCAAGGCCACATCCTCCCTGTCGCCCCCCCCCCCCCAGCACTCCAAGGTGCCAAGGAGAACAAACAAACAAGGGCACAACAAACAACAGACGAAGTAACATGCGTTGGGCTGTCGCAGGTTTGCCTCTCTCACCCCGTCTGTTTTCCTTTCCTTTTCTCTACAACACCCTCTCTTTTCCTCTCTATTTTCGTCAAATTTTGGGCGCTGAGCCGAGTCTGAGGCTGGTTTGGCTTTGGGCCCAAAATCAGCCAAATTTTAGGCCAAATCGTCAAAATGCCGGGAATTTTGCGGAGAACCCGTGTATACCTGGAAATTACCCTGCGACCGCCTGGGTTTTTTGTCGATTTCCTCAATTTTGCCTCAGATTTTGCCCCAGACCAGCTCTCAGACTCAGGGAAACTCGGCTACTCGCGAGTTTCTAGAATGGAGCACCAAACACCATGAGGGCCCAACTTGAGAATCGTGCTTTTTGGGTTGGGTTGGGTTGGGTTGTTGGGTTGGGTTGTTCCGCGTGAGGTTGGGTCGTCGGCGCGAAGGGTGAGGTCTCGACCGCCGCCGCTCACGCCAGCGGACGGCCACTGCCGGTGTTTTTGGCTTCGCCACCGTCCAAGGCGTGCGCCATGCGCTCGCCGGCATCGAGCGAGCAACTCTCTCCCTCGAACCGTCAGATTTTTGGGGGAGAGAGTTGGGCCCTCGCGAGTTTCCAGAATGGAGCACCAAACACCCTCTGTTTTCCCTGGAAATTTCCGGAAACGCAAAGTGCTGGGAACCTCTGTTTTCCTTTTTGTTTGCCGGAAAACCTGCGACAGCCCAAAACATGCGAGGCTAGAGCAGGCTTGCTCCACCTCTATCTAGCAATCTCGCCGGCCGGCGAGGCACGGACGAGACCGTGTGTGGGGTCTAGTGAGGTGTCTATGGACGCCCTCCTCACAGGCTAGCTGCCTACTGCTAAAGCGAAGTTTCGCGTAATCGGCCGACATCAACGTGGCGCGTAAGGTCACATGCTCGCCTACCTCTTCGCCACTGCGTGCCTCTGGCTGCCCAGGCATTCGCGTCCGCTCACTCGGCGGCGGTCGCTCGCGCCACTCGTTGCACTCGAGCGCGAAGCGGAGACGCCTACCGCCTCCATCGCCGCTGAGATTGATGCCGCGTGCGAGGCCAGCATGCGGGACGACGGCGGCGACAGCCAGTCTCCGGCGGCTTTCTTCCGTCAGCTGGTCGCCACCGAAGAGGAGCTGCGCGACATCGAGTCGGAGCGTGCCGCCGCCGACGACGACACCGCCGCGAGGCAGGCGGCGCTCGCTCAGACATATAGCTCTCTCGAGCTCAACGCCTTCGGCTCGGTCACCGAGTCGCCCATCCCAGGGCGCACCGTGACCGTCGCCGACCAACTGCGGCTCACCGGCCTCCCAACCAAGGCCTTTGCTCCTCGCGGCACTGGGTTTGGCACGCTCTTCGCGGGAGCCGCCACGGCACTTGGGCTTGTGCTCTGGACAAGCCCCGGCGTCGAGGAGCTGCGGCTGGTCGGCCTCGGCGCGGGCGCGCTGCTGCTGCTCGACTCGGCGTCGGGCGGCGTCGGCGTCGAGCTTGCCACGCGCGCGCTCTCGCCAGGGTACCGGCGCAAGATCGTCGAGCACGAGGCGGGCCACTTCCTGACCGCCTACCTGCTCGGCTGCCCGGTCGAGGCCTGCCTACTCGACCCGTTGCGCGCCGCCACCGACCCGCGCTTCCAGGGCGCCGCCGGCACCGTCTTCTTCGACCCGCTCCTCGCGGACGCGATGCGGGCGGGCAGCGTGCCTCGCTCCTCCGTCGACCGATACTCGGTGGTGGTGATGGCGGGCATTGCTGCCGAGGCGGAGCTGCACGGGCAGGCCGAGGGAGGGAGGGCAGACGAGCAGGCCCTCGTGCGGCTCCTCACCTCTCTCGACGGAGGCCGCAGCTGGGACTACGCCAAGATCACGAACCAGGCGCGCTGGGCGGCCTCCTCGGCGGCGCTGCTCGTCCGCGCCCACCGCCCGGCCTTCGACGCGCTGGTCGAGGCGCTCGCCGCCGGCCGCTCCGTGGGGACGTGCGTGATGGCCATTGAGGAGGCGCTGCGCGGTGGCGGCGGCGAGGCACAACTTGGGGGCAGCGGGGCGGGCTGGAACCGGGCCAACGTCTCCAAAGAGTGGACATGACTTCACGACACATGAGAAAGAGAGACGCGCCGGCGGCGCGCAGCGACGATTATATTTGGATCTTATAAAGCCGTAAGGGTCCGCCCGTGTTCACATGTAGGGTACATCATGTACCCCAATATCAAAACAAATCAACCTCCACACTTGCCCATGCAGTTTAGCCATGCCCACACCCACAACCCGTGCATGAAGGCGCCTGCCCAAACGGTCCGCGTGGCGATTGCGGCGTCGGTGCACGCGACGCCGAGCACCGCCGCCATCGCGAGGAAGCGCGGGTCGACGAAGATGTAGCGCGGCGCAAAGTGCAATGCGTCGAGGTGGTAGGCCAGGAAGCCAGCCAGCGCGAGGAGGTGCTGCGAACTCCAGCCTGCTGGCGCCTCGTCTGGCAAAACCATGAAGCGCCAGAAGCACTCCTCGACAAGCCCTGGAAATATCAGCGGCACCGGGAGAGAGAGCAGCGCCTGAAGCGATGTGAGCTCCCCCACCGAAGGAGGACGGCAGAGGAAGCCCGAGCGGAGACCGATGATTAGGAGCGCGGCAGAGCCGGTGCAGAAGACGGCGAGTAGCCGCGCTGACGCGTTCTTGGTCGCAACAGGCGGCGGAGCGTCTGATCCAACCACCTGAGCCCCAATCTCGTCCGCCCACGTCCTGCCTGTCAGCCCGAGGCGCAGCCTGCGGCAGTAGGTGGCGGGCACGTCGAGAGGAGACAGCCCCTGCTTCCAGCACAGGGTGACGACCACCAGCAGCTCGATGCAGGTCCACACAGCGGCCGACTGGCCGGACGATGGCGCCTCGCAGGTAGGATGATCGAAGCAGCCGCAGCATGATTGAGAGGGAGCGGTGTCCATGCGGCTGTGTCAGTGTCACTCACGTCCAGTGCACACGTACTCGTCGAAAGGCCCGCCACCTTGTGTTCGCCCCCCGGCCTCGACCGCCGCGGACTGACCAGGCCCGATCGCGTGTTTCTTTCTTTTTAGGCGGAACGCTAGTTGAATCTATTGCAAGCGTTTGGCGCAGGGTAGGATTATTACAGTGGCCAGGGGCGGGGCTTGCATTTTTGCCGTCGCCAGTCGCCCTACTCTTAGAGAGAGAAATGAGCAAGAGTGCCTTAGTCCCCCGGCCAAGCAAAAGGATGTCGCAAACCGGAAGCTCCGACGGAGTTCCTTCTATTACGCGTACCATGCTACGACCGCGTACGGAGCCGAGGCGGTTGGCGCCAGGCGCGTCCGTGCCCCACCCTCGACGCCCGCGCGCCCGCCCGCGCGTCCGCCTCCCTCCGGCCCCGGCCCGCCCCTCTCGCTCCTGCGGTCTCCCGCACCACACCGCCAGCGCGCAAGGATCGTCTGAGGGATGGTCCGCACCTCCCTCAAATGGCGCCTTGCCGTAACAATGGCAATATGGTGTGCGTGCGCACGACCACGGACAAGATCGTTCGTGCCCGCTCGCGCCCGCCCGCCTTCCGGCCCGCCCTGCGACGCCCACTTCCCAAACAGCTTCCCGTTCGTTACCGTCACCGACTGCCTGTGTTGCAGGTCGATCAGGACATCCCCACCCCGTTCCCCGGAACGGCCGGACGTTAAGGAGGAGAGTACAGCCTAGCCGACGAGCTCGTCGCGCGCGTGTGCGCACACTAGGCAGCGACCGCTGGTGCGTGCCCCACCCTATGCGCGCCGCATGCGCCCCGCCCCGCCCTGACCCTACCCACCGTCAACGACGTGACACTGCTGCGAACCCGGGGATTTGAACCCGGCGATTCCACAGTTGAAGGTCTACCACCGCGCGGTGCCCTGCCCCGCCCCGCCCCGCCTGCCCTGCCCGGTCCTGCCCGGCACATCCGCTCACTTCACCTTGCCTCGCACTCAACAGGCCTGTGAAGCCAGCAGCTCTGCCAGCGCGTTCGCTCCTTGCTGCTGCCGCAGAGCGGAGGCGCGTACGTCGCCTCGCTACTCTCGCGGCGAAGCAGCTGCCGCCGCCGAGACGCGAAGCGGCGTCTGCTGAGGAGAGAGAGCCAGCGCGGCGGTCGCCGACGCCGCCTTCGAGCTGTGTGCCACCTCTCGCCGGCAGGACAGCTCTGCGCGGCAGCGGACATCAGCAGCAGCCGCCACACCGCCACCCGCCGAGCACGCCGTCGCTGCCGTGGCACCGAGGGCCGGAGCCCGACTCTCGTACAGTCGAGCGGCTCCAAGGCCAAGCGCTGACACACACAGGGCATTCCGCGCAAGGAGAGCGCGCCTCGAGGGCAGCAACTGCGCGTGCGTGCCGCGCGGTCCTTTGTGGCGCGAATGTACTGTGCATCGGTAGACCTCGTGCGCGCGTGTACGTCTTGTCGTCGCGGATGTCACAGAGTGTGTATTGCTACAGTACTCTACGTCGAGTAGTAATGAAGACTCTACACACACGCGCGCACACGCGCTCAAAACTCCAACGCGACGGTAAACCAGTGGTTGTCCTGGCCGACGCTGCTCGACATGCCGGTGTTCACGATGTAGACCGACGGGCTGGCTCCGGCGCCTCCACCGCGGCGTTCCAACACGCCTGCGAGGAGGCCATCTAGCGAGACGACGGCCACGTCCCTCTCCACGCGGCACTTAAGGGCCCCCATCGCATCGCGCACATCCCCGCTCCCGCCGGCCTCGGATAACGCAAACCGAGCGAAATAACGCTTCCCGACGAGCTGGATCACCTGCTCGGTCTCGATCACGGTCGACGATCCCAGCGATCCCAGCCCGAGGGCGCGCCGCGCTGCGGCGATATGGTCGCGGTGGATGCACTCGTCCAGATTGATGGTGAACCACTGACCGACCGCAGCAAGCAGCAAGTTTACCGCAGCACACGCCACGATGCCGCACGAGTCGCCAACCTGCCAGCCGCGGCTGCCCAAGCTTTCCAACTCGGCGCGATCCGTCTGCGAGACGATCCAGCCGAGGCGCTCGAGCCAGCGTTGCAGCTCCTGCCGTATCCCCGCCGAGCCAGGCCAGTAGTCGACGATGCGGGCGCGGAGACGCCGCACGCCGACGGCAGCAGAAGAGGCGGCAGCGGCACCCGTCGGCGGCGGCCACGGCGCACCCGCCTTCGTGAGGAGCTCGAGGCGCTGCGCGACCAGGACAGACAAGACCTCGCGCCGCGGTCGGCTCCGCCTTGGCCACCCATCGCCCTCGCCCTCGGCCTGGCGCTTGGGCGTGGGAGGCAGACGCTGCCGGGCAGCGTTCGCCGCCTCGCCGCGCTGCCGCCGCTGCTCGTCGGCGGCACGCGAGGCACGCGAGGGTGAGCCGACGGGGACACCGCCCTTGCCGCCCTTGCCGCCCTTGCCGCCCTTGCCGCCCTTGCCGCCCTTGCCGCCCTTGCCGCCGCCTCCGCCGGCTCCCTCGCCCGCTCCCTCGACGCCGCGGCCGCGTCCCCGGCCGCGGCCGCGGCCGCGTTCGCCCCTGCCCCCGCCCCTGCCACCGCCACCTCGCCCGGCGCCGCCCTCTGCGCCGCCACAGCCCTCGCCCGCGCCACCCTTGCCGCCGCGGCCCTCGCCACCCGTGCCACCGCGGCCGCGGCCCTTGCCGCCGCCCCGCCCGCCGCCGCCGCCCCGCCCACCGCGGCCGCCGCCTTGCGCCCGCCGCGCCTCGGCAGCCTTGCGCCGCCGCGCCGCCTTCCTGGCCGTCTCCTCTCGCTTCTGCGCAGCCGCGACCAGTTCCCTCGCCTTGTCGGCGTCCCAAAAGCCGTTTTCATCGTAGCCCTCGTCCCACACGCCGAGCTGCCACGCGTGCACGAGGTCCTTGAGGAACCCGAGCTTCTTGTCCGAGGAGCCGGTCAGCGCGCGGAGGCCAGCAAACGATGTCGTCCGCGAGACGCCCACGTAGAAGGAGGTGAGCTGCATCGACTTCATCTCGCCAGTCAGGTTGAGGATCAGCTTGGGCAGCGTCTTGCCCTGCAGCTTGAAGTCGGTCACGGCTAGCGCCATCATGACGGCGAGCGGCTTAACGACCACCTTTGCGGGGAGGTTGTAGTGCGCCGAGTAGGACGAGCCGAGGTCCACCTCCTCGTCGTCCTTCGACGTGAAGCCGACCGGCACCACGTACAGCGGCTCGGGCTCGATGCTGTAGTAGCCACGCCCGGAGGCGCCGTCGCGGTGCTCCTTGCCCGGCCGAGGGCCCGTCGGCGTCGGCGCCGCCTCGAAGCCGTCGTCGACGAGGCCGGGCACGAGCGTCTCGTCGTCCGAGAGGCGGCAGTCGCGGCCGCGCACGGCGACATTCACCGAGAGCGGCGGCGCGTCCAGCGTGACCTCGGCGTAGCCGCCCTGCGTGAGCGCCGCCTCGAGCTGGGGAGGCACTTGCCCCGACTCAAAGGAGAGCGAGTGGTAGAACGCCTCCGTCCCGTTGGCGATGCCCTTGCCGGGGTTGATGTTGTCGGTGATCATGCACGGGGCGCCAGCGACAAAGTACTCCCAGAGGCCCGGCTCGTGGGAGCGCGCCGAGGCGAGGTGCGCCGCGTCGATGGTCTCGGCCTGCTTGCCGCGCAGCGTGGTGGGCCACCGCACGAACAGGGAGCCGGTCGCGCGGGCGAGCGCCCTGCCCCTCAGGTCGTTGAAGAAGTCGCGCTTGTACTTTGTCAGCACCATCAGCGGCGCCGCCAGCCACGAGGGGTCCTCCTGCACATCGGCGGGGCTGATGTCGCGGAGGTCGTCCACGAGCCGGCTCGGGACCGGCTGCTCCACAGTCGTGCGGCGCATCTGGCCCAGGTCCGCCGCAAAGCGCTGGTCGCCAGCCGCGCGCATCGAGCGCTCGAGGCGCAGCCGCTGGAAGAGGCGGAAGAGGTCGACGCCGTCCTCCACGTCAACCTCGTCGCCGTTGCGGGCGGGGAGAGCGGGCCTGGCCATGCCCCCGACGTCGCGATCGACGAGGTCCTTGTACATGGCGGTCGCCCTGCAC